AATTGATTAGTGTAATTGTGTTGTGTAATATTGACATAACGAGTGAGAAAAGTGGAGAGAATAAGGAAATAAGGGGAGAAGGAGTGAGAGAGAGAAAAAAAATAAGGGGAGAGAGATGAAAAAATTAAATCAAATCTTTACACATTTTAAAAAAAAATTATCAATATGAGAGAAAGATAGAAAGAAAATAGGGAAAAGAGAGTGAAAGAGTAATGGAGAGAGAAGTAGAGAGAGTAATGGAGTAATAAATATCTTTTTAGTCTTTTTTAAAAAAAATTCACTTAGGGATAAATAATTTTCCTTAATGTAGTTTAACCAAATAAGTCCAAAATTTTGCACTGACTTCCAAATTACCCGTTTTATTCTCATCTCATGGGCCTCATAATTGACCTTTATTTTATTATTTATTTTGCATAGTGAAATTAAGCATGCCGATGGGTTTGGTTGTGGTCCTATCCGGTGGGCAATTGTCCCCGACCTTAATAGCCAGGTCTTTCTAGGTTTGCGGTCTAAGATAGACTCAAAACCTAGTCCATGACCCTACACGACGAGCTAAGGGGCTCCCTGCATACCATCATATGCAACGCTGGCCCAACCGTTGGGCCATGAAATTTTAGACTTATAATGGTGAAAAAATGTAATTTAGAAGTCGGTACAAAAATTTAAACTTATTTGAACTAAACTACATTAAAGAAACTTATTTGGCTCTAAGTGTATTTTTTTGAAAAGACTAAAAAATCATTTATTACTTAATTATTTTCTCTCTCCTTTCTCTCTCCATTACTCTTTTCCCTATTTTCTCTCTACCTATCTCTCTCTTTTTCTCTCACATTGATAATTTATTTTTTTCAAATATATAAAGATTTGATTTAATTTTTTCATCTCTCTCTCCCCTTTTTTTTTCTCTCACTTCCTCNTTTATTTTTTTCAAATATATAAAGATTTGATTTAATTTTTTCATCTCTCTCTCCCCTTTTTTTTTCTCTCACTTCCTCTCCCCTTATTTTCTTATTCTCTGTCTTCTTATATCAACGTTATAACAACACAATTATACTAATTAGTTATACAAATTAGTTACAATTATCGTATAATATATTAAACAGTTACTCATGTGTTCTAATAAACTAAATAGTTACACTAAATAAATACACAGAATTACAACACCAACCAATTTGTCANTTAAACAGTTACTCATGTGTTCTAATAAACTAAATAGTTACACTAAATAAATACACAGAATTACAACACCAACCAATTTGTCATTTAATTATTTACATAAATCAAAGAGTTATATCATTTAGTATCACAAAATGATTAATCCAATTATATACACCAAATTGAGTTTATCATTACACAAAAGACTTTACCAGTATACTAAATTTGGTATATATAATGGGTATAACGATGACGTGATACTAAATGGTGCAACTATTTATTTATGTAAACAATTGAATGACAAATTGGGTTAGTGTCATAATTTCGTATAATTATTTTGTGTAACTGTTAATTTATTAGAATGAATGAGTAACTGTTTGATGTATTATATGACAATTGTAACTGATTGGTATAATTGATTAGTGTAATTGAGTTGTTGTAATGTTAATATAAAGAGAGAGAAAGAGAATGGTGAGAGAAAATAGAGAGAGAGAGATGAAAAAATAAATCAAATCTTTGTATATTTGAAAAAAAAATAAATTATCGATGGTAGATAGAGAGAGAAAATAGGGGAGAGATGAGAAAAGTAATGGGAAAAGAGAGATAGAGAGCAAATAGGGGGATAAAGAGAGATAAAGAGAATAGAAAAGGGTAAGTAAGTAAAAAATTTCAAAAGTCATTTGAATTTTGTACCTAATCACAAAAGTTTATTAAAATTGAATTTAATAGAGTAAAATACTTATCCATACACTTTCATTTAAATAAGTCTAAAAAAATGTACCTATACCCAAAAAAACCCTAAAAAAATGTTATTTGGACCTAATTTAATAATTTAATGCACCATAGTCATTGAAGTGATAGTAGGCTCAAACTAATAGTAAAATCTACTATTAATTCAATAGTGGAGAACAATTAATTAAGTCAACAAATTAAGTCTAAAGAACATTCAAGATGACAAATATATATATATAAAGAGAAATGATAGAGGGATCTAATTTGCGAACTTAATGATATAGTTTCAATATAACCATTGGATTAGTTATGAATTCTAATATTAGATAGAGCCCACTACGGATCTAATGGTTATGTTTAATCAAGTCCTCAGATTAGATCTCCAAATTAGATGCAAACAGCATTCTCCTAAAAAAAAAATTAAGTGAAGGTCATTAATCATCAATGTTTCTGTTTAGTGCTCCTTGCAATTTTAAGTGAAGAGTTGAAAAGGCCTTCAACCTCAAGGGTAGTGCATGTAGTAACATGGGCAAAATTTATCCCTCATGAATACTCTAATCTCGGCGTGGATGATCTGTATTTGACTAGACCAAAAAGATGATTTGTCGAGGTACACGTAAACTGGTCTAGACACCTTTAATCGCTGAACTAAAAAAAGAAGAGGAGTCCTTCTAGGCCCACAACTATTTCAAAAAATTGGCCTATTTACTTTACTAATAGATTTGACTTTTCCAGAGAAGAATGTGAACACTATGCTGAAGAAGTGCAAAAACTAGCTTACAAATTGTTGGAACTGATATCTCTGAGCTTAGACCTGCCGGCTAATCGTTTGAGCGGATTCTTCAAAGACCAAACTAGCTTCATCCGGCTCAACCACTATCCGCCTTGTCCCGTTCCTCACCTAGCTCTTGGGGTTGGCCGGCACAAGGATGCTGGTGCCCTAACCATCCTCGCTCAAGACGATGTTGGAGGACTCGAAGTGAAGCGAAAAACAGATGGAGAGTGGATTCGGGTCAAACCTACTCATGATGCTTATATTATCAATGTTGGTGACATTATTCAGGTACCACTCAATTAGTTTTTAAATGAATTCACTTTGTTGCTAAAATTCCCAGTACCATAGTCCATGCATATGAGTGACCTATAGGCAACTCGAAGGACCATTAGGGGAACTATTGGGACAACTAGATATTTACCATTAAACATGAAGGGTAGGATCATATTTTTGAGTCATGTTCATGTAAAATGTACTATGCCAACAACTTAGAAGCTTTATAAGTTCTAGCATTAACAAAGATCTATCCACATTTGTGTGGGCTGCCCCCCTCTTGTTTGTCCATCAATCACAAATGATTGTGCACCAAGTTGGGAACGGACTGAGACTTACAATTCAAAGACCAAGTCAGAGACTATTGGACATCTAGCTTAGTGATTCTATGATTACCATAATTGGTTTGATTTTGTTTGCAACCATACATGTCCCTGATAATGAGAGACCAAGCCATGTTATGGCCTAGGTGGCCGTGGCCATCAAGTTCTCAAAATTTTACTTTATAACTATAAGTCAAGATCGATCTTTCAGTTACATGGCCCCCTCAAGTTTACCAAATTATACTTTGTACTCTTGTATTAAGAGAGATCTGCATATGCACACAAACATGATGAAATTTGCTATAGCAAATGATAAAATCGACCAAAAAACTCAACTGTCTTCTTGAATTAATCAGAAATATTTTACATTTAATTTGACAAGTGTTAATTTTCTTGAAGGATTTCCATAGGCTTGATACAATTAGAAACCTGGCATGAACAATAACTCATGAATGGCGATCATTGAATAAAAATTTATGATTATGCTACTATTAGACTACTCATACAAAAATGAGAGGTTTGTCGTGCTGACGATGTCATGTGTGTTTGTGAATATATGTCCAGGTTTGGAGCAATGATAGGTATGAAAGTGTGGAGCACAGGGCAGCAGTGAATTGTAAGAAAGACAGGATCTCCATCCCATTCTTCTTCAACCCCGCTCACTACACCAATGTGAAACCCTTGGAAGAGCTAACAGATGATCAAAACCTTGCCAAGTATAAGCCATATAACTGGGGGAGGTTTTTTGCAACCCGAAAACGCAGTAATTTCCAGAAACTTAATGTTGAAAATATTCAAATCTCTCATTTCAGGCTCTTAGAGAAATCTGTTTAAAGAGGGAAGAATCGTCTTTGTGCAAGCATCATCAATAAGAGTGTCTTAACTTTGCCTTCTCGTAAAATATTATCCTCTGTATAATTATAAAATAATGGATACTCCTATATATAAGGATGGATATTGAAATAAAAGTTGTTTGTTGATTTTCCTTCTTCTCTCCCATTCTACTTGGGGGTCATAGTTTTTGATGTGATGCATAAATTTGGCACGAAATAACGAGTTGTAATTGAATAATTCCCGATACCAAGTTGAAATTATACAATGTACTAATACAAATCATGCATAAACGAATCAAATTAGTCTCAAACGTAATCTAATTTTAATAGGAGAAACCCCTAAATAAGTATTGTGTTACTATGTATGCCATCAGCTTTCACTGGGAATCTTCATCTAGAATGACAATTTCAATAATTGAAGCATGCATTCTATCTAAGAGTCAATTTTCGTCACCACATGTTATTGTCGTATGAATCCAACATGAAATTAACAAGTTATTGTTAAAAATTCACGTACGATATGCTAACGCAAATAATAAATAAGGTGGATTAATTTCAAGCACGAATAACCCAATTTTTACCTGACAAACCCATTTAGCTAGTATTAAGTATAGGAAATTGTGAATTTCTTCCATGTTTTTCTTTCTTTGATATGATGTTTGTTAGNAAATATATTTATTTAATTATTTTTTACATATTTTTAATTAAAAATATTATTTGCAACGATTTTTTTATCGTTGCTAAAAATTAATTAAATTATTTTTTACTTTTTTTATTAAAATAATATTTGCGATGACTTCTTTTACATCGCAAAAAATTAATATAATTATTATTTTTTACATTTTTAATTTATTTAAAAATTATTCGCGGCGCTTTTTTTACGTGCAAAAACTTAATTAAATTATTATATTAACCGTTTTTATTTATGTAAAAATTTATTTGCGACGATTTATTTACTTCGTAAAAAATTAATTAAATTATTATTTTAATGTTTTTATGTTGGGGGAATAGGTTTTAGCTACGTTTTTTTTTTCGTCGCAAAAATTTTTTTTTTTTTGTGATAAAAATAAATTTTTGTCGCAAAAGACTTTCTGCGACGAGACTATTGCGACGAAGACGCGATGAAAATAAATCGTCGCAAAAAATATTTTGCGACAANTGTCGCAAAATTTTTTTTTTTGTGATAAAAATAAATTTTTGTCGCAAAAGACTTTCTGCGACGAGACTATTGCGACGAAGACGCGATGAAAATAAATCGTCGCAAAAAATATTTTGCGACAATTTTTTTTAATTTAGCAACGAAAAAAATCGTCGCAAAAAACGATTTTTGTTGTAGTGTATATACCAAGTTGAAATTATGCGAGGTGCTAGCACAAATTATGCATAAATGAACCAAATTAGTCTCAAACNAAAAAACGATTTTTGTTGTAGTGTATATACCAAGTTGAAATTATGCGAGGTGCTAGCACAAATTATGCGAGGTGCTAGCACAAATTATGCATAAATGAACCAAATTAGTCTCAAACATTCTTAATCTAATTTTAACACGAGAAACCTATAAATAGATATATGCCATCAACCTTCACTGGGAATCTTCATCTAGAATGGCAATTTCAATAATTGAAGCATACATTCTATCTAAGAGGCAAATTTTTGTCACCACATGTTATTGTCTTATGAATCCGATATGAGATTAACAACTTAGTGTTAAAAATTTGAAAGTAGTCTAATCTGATAACTCAAATAATAAACGATACAGATTAATTTCAGGTACGAATAACTCAATTTTGAAACAACAAACTCATTCAGCTAGTATTCAATAGAGAAAATTGTGACTTTCATGTTTTTCTTTCTTTGATATGGTGGATATTGGAATTTTTTGGTTTACAGGAAGTTTGTGAGTGATGAATTTGCTAGAAAAAAGATGGGAGCAATATTCCTAGATTTCTATTTCACTTGTTGAGTTGATTAATCGAAACACAACGCGAATGTTGAAAAAACTTGATTAGAATCAGGACATCTCATATGAATGATAAACGATTAGATAAAAGTTAACTACTATTAAATAACAATTTAAAATAACACCATCTAAATGCAAAACAACATGATTTGATTCCATTGTCACATTTAATTTTTTTTTGCTTCTGCTTCTGACGGAGCCATGTTCATCTTGCTTTGGAGATTTCTATTGCTTTTTGAGGAAGAAGACAGTTACAATCATCTACCTTTTTCAGGCTAAGATTTTTCTATTTATATTGTTTTGGTAGAGTGGTCCTCAAATAATCATTACTGGTCCCCTGATCTGTTAGAATATCTGAGGAAATATTGGACCGTAGACTACATTCTCTAAGTGTGACGTGGCTTTCTAGAAATTTTTTTCTTAGATGAGATCTGGAGGTGGTGGTACCCTTCGTCCCTCTTCCTCTTGTGGCCTAAGTTATTTTAGTTTAACCGAAATTGTTTGCAAAATTACTTACTTGATCCCAACTTGTGTCTGAGCTTAACTGACATGTCTTCTTCTGCTATTGAGAAAAGTTATCTTTTTTATTCTTAATATTATCAGTATTCCATAAGTATTATAACACGAAATAGTTTGATTCACATGTTCTCTAGCTTCCTCTTCAAAATTTATTTGTAGTCTTCATTTTTGATTTACCGTTATTTTTGTTGTCTCATTCACAACAAGAATCCGTAAATAATTTTAATAAGAAAAATGCTACACTAACCAAATAAAAGGACCAAAATAAGAGACCAAATGACATGGTGGTTGATGTGTTAAAGCTGATTAATAAGCATCAAAGTTGAAACATAGTAACAAGTGTGTCTAGGTTCGATGCATATTTTACCACTCCTCATAAGATTTTCACACCTAGTTGTTCACTTCACCAGATAGAACGTTTTGTATTCGGGGAGGAGACTACGATACTGGAAAAAAAAAAGAATTTCATATTGTATCTCCAAGTTTTATAAGTTTTGAAGGTTTTGATACCAATTTTTTGGTTTGTTTACTATAAAAAATTTACAATTTTTGGGGGTCTTACAATTTTTANAGAAAAAAAAAAGAATTTCATATTGTATCTCCAAGTTTTATAAGTTTTGAAGGTTTTGATACCATTTTTTTGGTTTGTTTACTATAAAAAATTTACAATTTTTGGGGGTCTTACAATTTTTAAAGTTTGAGTTATAATTTTTTTGGACAAATTTTTATGGTAACTTGTGATCAATCTTAAGTCACCACAAAATTATAAATAAACTTCAAAAATTGTAAAAAAGTCCACAAATTTTATAATGACGGTATGATACCGACGCTTCTTTTTTCGGCTTTAGATGTAATACCAAAAAAGAATGAGTAATACTACATGAATTTTATTTAGTGATTTTATTTTGGACCTTATCATTCTCTGTCATTAGATTGATAGTGAATCATATTATTAGTTGGAATTTACTATCAATTTAATGGTTATAATCTATTATGTCATCAAATAAAATCACTAAATTAAGTACAAATACCATTTCCAAAAAAAAAAAAAAAAACTTGTCGGGCCCAAGTTAGCCTCCTTTTTTTCCCTGCAAATCCTTTCAAAGCAGGTACATACACGACTAAGACATCAATATAATACATAAAAGTTTGAATTTTATCTTCATATATTTGTTTTGCTGATTTTTATCATAACTTAAATTATTTTATTTTTAATTAATTTATGACTCAATATACTTTTTATTTCAATTATTATTCATATACAATATTATACACATCTTAATATTTTTTTTGAGATCATGTATTTTGAAAAAAAAAATTGTCAATTTTTTTTTAGAAAAATGAGTAGAAATCAATTAATTATGTAATTAAAAAAAAAGAAAGAAAAATTAATATTTCATAAATTGGAATCGATTTTCTGGACGATCGAATTTTATGTGGTATCATACCTTAGTCACGGATTATTAAACTTAATTACAACCTACAAGGTTTTTTGTAATGGACTTAGAAGGTTCAAACATAGGATTAAATGTGTCAAGGGTCAATGTATATGATAACCCCCACCCACTCCACTACCCACCCCTTATATATATGTGTATTTATATACACAATAAAATAGATATTTTTTTTTTTCACAACTTAAATTGCTTCCCATGTGTCACCCACCACTCACCCCGTAGACATGGGAGAAGTAGACGCAACCTTCATCCAAGCCANCACCCACCCCTTATATATATGTGTATTTATATACACAATAAAATAGATATTTTTTTTTTCACAACTTAAATTGCTTCCCATGTGTCACCCACCACTCACCCCGTAGACATGGGAGAAGTAGACGCAACCTTCATCCAAGCCACCGAGCACAGCCCAAAACTCGTTGTTGTCGAAGCAGACGGCATTCCACTAGTGTATCTCTCCATTCTAAACTCCCCTAACTCGATGTGAACCCATTGGGGTATTATGATGCTGAGCATACCAAGAATGTTAGAGACTGGAAAAAGGTGTTTGATCTTACCATACAGAATCCAACACTATTTCTTGCTTCTCATGAGCCTGATGATAAGGAGCTAAGACAATATTTTAATCAGTGGCCCGATAATCCACCAAAGTTGTAGTAATTTTTTGAATTATTTTTGTTGAAGCGGTAAAAGAAATATTTTTTTTTCAAATTCCCTTCTTGACAGATCATTAATCATTAACCGGTAAGAGACTCACATATATAAAATGAATCTCACTTGAACGCAAGACAGGAAGTGTAAAATGAATCTCGCTTGAACGCAAGATAGGCCGGCTTCCTCGCGAAAACGTGTGTGTAGCTATGCTAACTTGGTGACATCTTTCTCGAGGCTCCGCTACTCTTGGGCTACCTCCCTCCTTCCTCGATCTTCATTTTTGGGAAGGTTTGCCACATTTCCGTATTTCTTCAATAGAGAGAGAAAATAAGGGGGAGAGAGAAAGAAAAAATATAGATAGAGAGAGTAATGTTGCCTTGATTACGCAGGGGGAGAGAAAATAGAGTGAGAGAGTAATCGTTAGAGAAAATAGAGAGAGAAAGTCAGAGAGAAATGTCAAAGAAAATATGGAGAGAAAGAAAGAGAGAGAGAGTGATCGAATGGTGATACCACATGCTAATGCTGACGCGATATTATCAACTAATAATATCAAAACAAATAAACAAATGGATCCCATTAAGATTAATAATCAGCCCTCCATGTAATTAAATAATTATTCACGTCAACATTACTGACATGGTATCCCCATTGCATTCAATATTTACTCGAGAGAGAGTAACAGTGAGAAAAAATAGAGAGAGTTTGATGCATTAGTAAGTCTGCTTAGAGGATACTTCAGTCATTTTGCCTCAAAATAGATTTTTATTCAAAATATTTTTCCAAATAAACTTTTATTCAAATAAGCCTTAAAAATTGTACCCGCTTCCATTTTTCCCTATTTACTTACTAGTAGATTTGGGTCTTCTAGAGAAGAATGTGAACACTATGCTCAAGAAGGGCAAACACTAGCTTACAAGTTGATGGAACTCATCTCTCTGAGCTTAGGCCTACCAGCTAATCGTTTGAATGGATTCTTCGAAGACCAAACTAGCTACGTGCGACTCAACCACTATCTGCCTTGTCCCATTCCTCATCTAGCTCTTGGGATTGGCCGGCACAATGATTCTGGTGCCCTGGCCATCCTTGCTCAGGACGATGTTGGAGGACTCGAAGTGAAGCAAAAAACAGATGGAGAGTGGATTGAGGTCAAACCTATTTGTGACATTATTCAGGTACCATACTCCATGCATATGAGTGACCTATAGGCAACTCGAAGGAACATTAGGGTAACTATTGAGACAACTAGCTACTTACCATTAAACATGAAGGATATAAATATATGATTGAGCCATAGTTATGTAAAATGTACTATGCCAACAACTTAGAAGCTTTATAAGCTCTAGAATAGTTTTGAATAACGATAACGACCATCATAACATTGAGGGATAACTAGACTAAAACAAAGATCTATCCATATTTGTGTGTTCTATGTTTACCATAATTGGTTTGATTTTGTTTGCAAACACACATGTCCTTGATAATCAGAGATGGAGCCATGTTGTGGCGTAGGTGGTCGTGGCCATCAAGTTCTCAAAATTTTACTTGATAGATCGATATTTTAATATACATCTCTATAATCTTGTATTATGGAAGATCTGTGCGTGCTTGACACTCACTGTTTTGTTTTGTTATGGTTTTTGCACTTGGCAGACCCATGATGAAATTAGTTGTAATAAGTAATTACGCGATAAAATCATAAATATTTTACAACTTCACAAATATGAATTAATTTCTTGATTATACGGAACAATTTTTCATAGGCTCGATACATTGGAAACTTGACATTTCCAAAATCATGAATGGTGCTCATTGGATAAATTTTTCTGATTACGTTACTATTAGACTACTCGTACAAAAAATGAGAGGTTTTTCATGCTGACAATGTCATTTAGTGTGTGTTAATATATGTACAGGTTTGGAGCAATGAAAGGTATGAAAGTGTGGAGCACAGGGCAGTAGTGAATTTTGAGAAAAACAGGTTTTCCATTCCATTCTTCTTCAACCCAGCCCACTACACCATGCTGGAACCCCTAAAAGAGCTAACAAATGATCAAAACCCTGCCAAGTATAAGGCATATAATTGGGGGAAGTTTTTGGCAACTCGAAGACCCAGTAATTTTCAGAAACATGATGTTGAAAATATTCAAGTCTCTCATTTCAGGCTCTCAGAGAAATCTAGCTAAAGTGAAGAATTGTCTTTGTGCAAACATCAATAAGACTGTCTTAGCTTTGCTTTCTTGTAAACTAAATAAAAGTTGCTTGTTGATTTTCTTATTCTCTCCCATTCTACTTAGGGTCATAGTTTTTGATGTGATGCATTAATACAACACAAATCTGACACGAAATAGGGAATTGTAATTGAATAATTCCCGATGTCAAGTTAAAATGATACAATGTACTAATACAAATCATAAACAAACCAGATTAGTGACAAACTTTATTAATATGATTTTAACACGAGAAACCCGTGAAGAGGTATTGTATTACTAATATATGCGAACAGCCTTCACTGGGAATCTTAATCTAGAATGACAATTTTAATAATTGAAGCATGCTTTCTATCTAAGAGTGGAAATTTTTATCACACATGATAATATCGTATGAATATGAAATTAACAGGTTAGTGTTAAAAATCTGAAAGTGGTATGATCTGCTAACATAAATAATAAACGGGGCGGATTTGTTTCAGGCATGAATAACTCAATTTTGACACGACAAACTCATTTAGCTAGTCTTCAATATACAAAATTGTGAATTTCTTTCATTTTTCTCATTCCTTAATATGGTGGATTGTGGAACTCTTTGGTTTACAGTATGTTTGTGAGAGATGAATTTGCTTGAAAGAAGATGGGAGCAATATTCCTAGATTTCTATTCCACGAGTTGAGTTGATCAACCTAAAGACAATATGGTTATTGAATAAACTTGGTTAGAGTTAGGACATCTTATATGAATGATAAACGATTAGATAAAAATCGACTGTTATTGAGTAAAAATTTAAAATAACATCATCTAACTGTAAAACAATATGATTTGATTCGATTGTCGCATTTAATTTTATTTTTGCAAATCTGCTTCTGACGAAAGCCATGTTCATTTTAGCCTCAGTGGCATTCCGAATATACCCCGATATTATTTACATGTGTGGACATGTTCCCAGAAAACTCAATCTCCAAGGAAGAATCCTCTGTCAAATTCAAAATAAACAATTTTTCCTTTTGGACTTTGGAGTAACTTAAAAATATCTGTAAATATCTTGGGGGAATGACACTTTGTCCTCTAAAAAATTTCAAATTTTTACTTTATCAACCAATTTTTTACGTTGCAGCCTAAAATTTTTAAATTGAAGCAATTTTTCTTAAAAGTAACTGATCATTTGTTTCTATCTCCTCGCCTAACACGTTCCGTGCTGAGGGAAAAAAATGACCGGTGTTTTGGGAATATATTGGATACGTTTGGAGCTGATTTTTTAATATGTGAATCAAAGGTTTGAAAAACGAAATGAAAAAGTCAAAGTTAAAAAAACTCTTAGAACCATTTGGAGTGTTTTCAAAAAAGCCAGTTTTCCTTGGATGCCCTTGAATAAGCCCCATTTTTCAGCTTTTCTTTGGTGCTTTTGGAAAAGTCACCCAATAAGTCCTTGGATGCCCTTGAATAAGCCCCATTTTTCAGCTTTTCTTTGGTGCTTTTGGAAAAGTCACCCAATAAGTCCGAGTCCAAATGGACTATGCTTCTTTTCCTTAGAAACCAAAAAAAAACTGAGGCTTTTNAACGTTGCACCCTAAATTTTTTAAATTGAAGCAATTTTTCTTAAAAGTAACTGATCATTTGTTTCTATCTCCTCGCCTGACACGTTCCGTGCTGAGGGAAAAAAATGACCGTTGTTTTGGGAATATTTTGGATACGTTTGGAGCTGATTTTTTAATATGTGAATCAAAGGTTTGAAAAACGAAATGAAAAAGTCAAAGTTAAAAAAACTCTTAGAACCATTTGGAGTGTTTTCAAAAAAGCCAGTTTTCCTTGGATGCCCTTGAATAAGCCCCATTTTTCAGCTTTTCTTTGGTGCTTATGGAAAAGTCGCCCAATAAGTCCGAGTCCAAATGGACTATGCTTCTTTTCCTTAGAAACCAAAAAAAAACTGAGGCTTTTAGTGTTGAGATTTAATATACTTTAAACCCACAGACAAACACACACAATTGAAGAACAAACTAAGAACATAAAACAATAAGAAACAAGAAGGAACAAGACACAAAGATTTTATGTGGTTCGACAATTTGCCTACATCCACGAAACTGCAAGATTTTCACTATTGAGAGAGAGGATTACAAAGAGCGGCTATACACTTCGATCAAACTCTAATCACCAAAGTAGCGGTCTTTTATATGTCCTATCGGCCCAAGCCTTCGCTCCATGGGCCAAGACTCAGAAAATTTTCCATTAAAAAACTATACAACATGACTTCGAGTCGGGTCATCATCCGGATCAATATACAAACTAGACTCCACAACGGCCCAACATTCAGTCCCTTCTAAGAGGCCCATTATATACTAATTGAGGAAATTACTGATGTAATATGAAAATTTTAATTTTTTAAGGGATAAAATAAAAATTTTAAAATGGTTCCCTTCATCCTAATATCTAAAGGTATATAGTCAAGATCAAATAATTGAACTTGATAAGGTTGTAGTGGATCAAATATAAGATATGATTTGTTGACTATTAGTGTCTATGACTCCAAGACAGAAGGAAAAGGAAACAAAGAGGAAATTAGAAAAAGCAGCATGTTATGTTTGTGTTTGTTCTCATCTTCTTCTCTCTCCAAATGGTGAATGCAGAAACATCCGAGCAGCCATGGCGGCCAGAATCCGGCAAGCACTTTGTGCTAATTCATGGGGCATGCCTTGGTGCATGGTCTTGGTACAAGCAANCCTTCTCTCTCCAAATGGTGAATGCAGAAACATCCGAGCAGCCATGGCGGCCAGAATCCGGCAAGCACTTTGTGCTATAAGTACCCCGTACGGAACCACGTACCAGAACCATGTTCGTTCACGTTGAAGATTTATCGGCAGGCCACAATGTCACAGCTCTTGATTTGGCTGCTTCCGGGGTCGATCCGAAACAAGTCAAAGATGTTCCTTCTATCTCCGATTATTTTCAGCCATTGATGGACTTCCTGGTCTCTCTTCCTTCACATGAGAGAGTCATCTTGGTAGGTCACAGCCTTGGAGGCTTGGCTATTTCTCATGCCATGGAAAGATTTCCAGAGAAAATTTTTGTTGCTGTTTTTGTCAGTGCCTTGATGCCTGGTCCAACCCTCAACATATCTACCCTCAATCAAGAGGTATTCCTTGCTTTTTTGCCCTTTTTTACTCATTTTTTTTCTTTATTTTTTTTGTTGATATGTAAGGTGGTTTATTGTGGTTTTTGTTGATATACAACCCAAATGCATATATCATCTATTAGATGATTGAGCCTCATCAACTTTTTCAATGGAATTTACTCATTCAAATGATGATATATATTTGAATTACAATTTTTGAGTTGCATTTGGGTGGGTCGTATAGCATTTTCCTTTCATGAAACTCTTGCATATATCATAAAAAGTGTTGTTGGTTTCACTTTTACACTTTTGAAATTCAAATTTATTCCATTATGGTGGGGCCTGCATGAAATTGAATACATCTCAGTCAAAAGCAAATTAGTTGAACAGAAATGATAAATAGTCAAAAAAAAAAAAATTTGTTCATATTTTGACTAGATGTGGGGATAAGGATGTTGAGCAAACCGTATCGTTTGGGCTCCCCTCAGTTTCAACTCATCCAAGTTAATTCGTTTTAAAAAATTGTCAATTTTGAAGTTTATTTAAAACAAATTGAGTTCAAAAAATGTACAACTCGCACTTATGTAAAGTTGAACTTGACAATNAAACTGTATCGTTTGGGCTCCCCTCAGTTTCAACTCATCCAAGTTAATTCGTTTTAAAAAATTGTCAATTTTGAAGTTTATTTAAAACAAATTGAGTTCAAAAAATGTACAACTCGCACTTATGTAAAGTTGAACTTGACAATTTGTAAAATGATATATATATTAAATGGTGAACAAGTAACACAATATAGCACCTTGGGATTAAAGGCAAAGACATTTTACTTCTAATAATCAATTGATGGTGGTTGCAAACCTTATAGGATGTTTATTTTTCAAATTTTCTCAAGATTGAGCTCAAATTCAAGCTTGTAAGGACAAAATTAATCTGATCATATGATCTAGAAATCGAAACTTAACAACTGAACTAGAGTCTGTAATATCCAATTTGGTAGCTAAAGTTCAAAGAATTCAGTTCGATTAACCACCATATGAGAATCGTAATATAATTTCAGGAGAATTTCAGTGTTTCGTGCTTCTCAACTTATTTTTTTTGTAGGGATGCACACTACAAGACATTGTAATGACGATATGTTAGTAGTCATCATAGGGTTAACTTGTATGACAACAAAAAAAGGTTACTTACTATTTTGAGGACAATAATTTTTACATTACACTAATACAAAATCAATACGAGTCAAATTGTCATCCCATTACTTGCCATGTCATAACCGGACACCTCTGTACATTAACTTATTCTCGTGGCTAATTACTTCTATTCATTGTCAAAGTCATTCATTACTTCTATTCATTGTCAAAGTCATTCAGGAGACAAGAATCTATACTCGACAGTCGTTATACATATGATGATGGACCCAACAATCCTCCAACCACCTTCATCTTGGGCCCCTTGTTCTCAGCAACAAATGTATTTCAGCTCAGCCCAATTGAGGTATGCAGAATTGGAACGCTTAAAGTGTAAATTATTTCACCCGAAAAAAGGGTAAATTACACCTTATCCCCTTGAACTATTACCTTTATTTTACTTTATACTATCAACTATAAAATTTCTTACATTGTACTCTAAAATATCAATTTTGTTTTATATCACTCCAATAGATAATGATTATCATTTTTTTAACAATAATGTGCATGTGAGTGGTCTGTACTGCCAATAAACAACTGTCTATTGCATATATATAAATCAAAAATTAAGAAAAATATATATCCATAATTTTGCCTTTCCTAAGTTCCAAATCTTTTTCTTCTGACCGACCTTCTTTTTCTTGTCAGCAACACTTAGTGGAAAACTTTGGAGTTTCCCCCTCTCCTTTAATTGATTTTCAAGTTTGTTATTTTAATCTGTCAAAAAATTAACAATCGTTAACTATTTGAGTGATATGAAATAAAATTGATACTTTAAAATGTAGTATGAGAAATTTTAAGGTTGAGAGTACAAAATAAAACAAGTGTAATAGTTCAAGGTAAAATATAATTTACCCATGCTTAAAACATTGAATTATGCATAAACGAGCATGAAATTTAACCATTGTCAAACGATGTTTCTTATCATTTTGCCACATTTCTCACAGGATTTGGCACTGGCAATGTTGCTGCTTAGGCCGTTGCGTTTGTACAGCGATGAAGACATGTCAAAGGTGATGATGATGTCGAGCAAGAGATATGGTTCGGTTGACCGAGTTTTCGTAATTTGTGATGAAGACAAGCTAGTAAAGAAGGGATTTCAACGATGGATGGTCGAGAAAAATCCCCCTAATGAAGTGGTGGAGATCACAGGAAGCGATCACATGGCCATGATGTCTAAGCCGGTTGAGCTTTCGGTTCATCTCCGATGCATTGCTAACAACTATTCTTGATCATCCAATAAGTTTTCGCTGCAAGGAAAAACATAAATGTTTGTTTGTGTTTGTGAGAGAGAGAGAGAGTGAGAGAATAACTTAACAAGATGCTTGTAATTGACCAGTCTAACCAAGCACTTCATGCATTCTACAAGCATAAATTGTGTGTGAGAGCGGGGGAGAAATATGCCAAACCATGTTCTACTCTAGTAGCTAGTGGGAGGAAGATGGCATCATATGAAGGGATTCTTATTCTTGATCTCACCGCTACCACCACCACCACCGTCGTCGCCCTTTCACCACCGCGGTCACCAATGACTTTGCTACTATCATCATCGTCACCCAATATCTATCACCACCATCATCGTTGCCACCCATGGCTAACACCACTACCATGGTCGTTGCATCCGTCCACCTCAACAATCACTGTCTCCCACCACTACCACCGCTCACCCATACTATAACTGGTGTTTAAATTCCTTTCTCATTTTTCTATATTTGTGATTTGATTGAATGTGAATACAAATATATTTATAATTGATAATTTTTTTAATTTTTTCGTGTATTCAGGTACGGGCAATAAAAAATTGCTCAAGAAAAAATAATTTAAGCCATGAAAATCTCAAGACAAAATAAGAATTTGAAAGTTAGATCAATAATCTTCTCAAATGATCTGAGCCGCGAAAAACTCAAGACAAACAATCTATCTTCTTTATTATATAAAATGCACTCTCTTACTATTGTGCATTGCATCTGCTGTCAAACGTATTTGACGCAATCTCAAGAGTATTTTTTTATCTTGTTCACTTATTTTTTTTAATCTAGTTCTCTTCATCTTATGGTCTATTCTTTCTCTATCTCTCTTTTTTTTACAGGATATTTAGGGTTGCGCCAACTACTCTTTCGAGATCAGTGGCTAGCCCCCATGGTTAGAGCTAGTCTAGAACATGTCCCCAAAGGGATAACGGTGGTTAACCCTTAAGAAGTGTGAGAAAAAAATTGAACCTGAAATATCTGAATTACTAAAAGACAAGCCTAACCACTAAATCACCCTAAGGATTTCTTACAACCTATTCAGATGCTGACTGTGCTGATAGTCTTGAAGATAGACGATCCACAGTAGTTTCTTGATTCCTGTTCTCTTGTTGTCTATGGAGTGAGTTCAATGATGACAATCTCGTCCTACTACACTTATCATTTAAAGCTTAAAATCGCGAAATCATATCACGCTTAGGCCTGCACTTTAATCTCTGTCTTTAATGAGGAAAAATATGGAAAAAAAATCATATAATAGAAATAATATTTTCTTAATTCAAAAGATTAAGTAATTAATCAGTTAAAAGAGTGAACATGCAGATCACATGGGTGATCGGTTGGTGGTATAGAACAAGTTTATGTTATGATGATGTACTAATGTACAAAGAGAAGTGGACCATTTATGCAAATTTATTCTTGTTTCTTGGTAGGTGGCTCTTATCTGTGTCCATTTCATTATTGATATTATCCTTTGTCTCATATATATATACTAGTAATTATCTGTGGTTAAAGGTACTAAATGACAAAAAAAAATAACAAATTACAAACTCGTGCATTAGCAATTAGCAAGAGCCTTGCTTGGCTCGAGCTCGTACTTAGCAAGGTTCTCATCGGTCACTAGGTTAAAGAAGGATTGTGGTCCAAAGGCCTCGGCTCTAGCAACCCTGGCTGCCTCCTCCGCATTAAGTGTCGGTCAGAAATCTGAAAGCCGAATAAAAAATTAGCAAGACATAAAAACAAAAAAAGAAAGGAAAGCACAACTAATCAATTAGCCTTACTGGTATTCCTTGGAACCCCCCAAAACCTGGGGATGCGAGGAACGTTGCTAGGCTCTCCTGACAGCTCCCCCAGGAATCACCCCTAACAAAGAAAAACCTTGGCTTCCACCCCTTGTTGGAGGAGGGGAGCCTAGAAATCAAGTTCTTTGCCTTCATTCTTTTGGCGAAATACAAAAAGCCCAAAGAAGAAGAAGACTTAAGTTGGAAGAGAGAAGCAAACTCTTGAATGGAGGGAGGGGAGTCATTCCCACTCTCAAACCAATGAACGAGGAAACCGACTAGAAAGCCCTAGCCGTTTGGGGAAAGTCAGGTTGGGCAAACGTTGTAAAAACTACGCACATCCTGAATGAAAGGGTGAACTGGGAATCGAAAATTGGCCCAAAATGCAGATTCAAAGAAATAGGTTAACTCGAGAATAGAGGAATTGCACCTCTCACGCTCCTAAAACAAAATCAGGGAAATGATACTCTCACCTCAACTCCTTCAGATCCTCATTATCGAGACAACTAGGAGTCGCCTCCGCATAACAGGTCAGGTCAGATTGATTAGGATGGGTTTTCTTTCTACAAGTAGAAGGCGGAATCGACTTAGACTTCCTTTCCCTTGACTGGATAAAGGGGATAGGAGGCAAAGCTAAAAGAGCCTGAGCCTTTGCTAAAGGAGCTGAGGTAGAAACTCCAAGGCAGACCTTGAAGCCTCCTCGCCAACGTAAGAGAACGGTCACGAAAGGAAGCCGAGGTAGCCTCCTCAACCTCCTCATCGACCTACTCCTCGAACTTTGACTCAGAAGAAGAAATGAGAAACTTCCCCATCAAAGGTTCAGATCGTAAACTAGAGTGTAGAGACGGCAAATGCAAGACACAATCCGTCAAAAACAAATGTCTCAAACACCAGGCCCTAAGAAAGGATACCCTTAACAAGAAAGAATGATCTACAAATTGCGAAAGGGAAGAAAGGTCATCAGCGTGACCCCTGAAGTAACTAAATCTCTAGATCAGAAAGCGAAACTCGAAGCCCCACCAGGGAGGCTTGAAAGGATCCAGGTCGAGCAAAAAGAAGAAGGAAAGAGAAACGTACCTAGTAGAACGCTAGAAGCAAAAATGAACTGAAAAAGAAGAAACCCTAAGTCGCCATAGAGCCTCGAACAAGATGCCTCAGAAGCCAAAGGATGGGAGGAAGCACAAAGGAAGAAGAATCCAAAACCATAAGGTAGGAAAGGCAAAGAGATTTTCCCTCTTTTTGTATGTGGCATTCAATTTGTGACAGGCGTATGACAGAACACGCAAGGAAAATCGTACCTACGGGCTCACCCGTTGTTGACACATGTGCATAACCATCTCATCCTAGCCGACAGACATTAACGCAATCCAACTCAGGTCAGAACCAATAATCAAGCACAACCGTCTCTCAAAGAAGTAGTTTCAGATTTGAAAAAGATGTTTCTAACCCTAGATTAGAGATGAAGTCATTTTCATGACTTGGGGCTGGGGGACAACTGACAAGAACGAAACATTGGGCATAGGCCTTCATAATCCAAGAGCCCAACCAGTCCAGGAATCCCTTGCTTGCATAATGGCCTAAATGAAGCGCCTATAGTTAGCCCACATCTAGAGTAGAAAGGGGCAAAAAACAAAGCCCAACGGCACCACAAGGCCTACGATCCAGCCTAAGCACAATCCAGTCCAGCCAAAGGACGGTCCAGGATAGAGAAGCCTAGCCCAAAATCCTGGAACATCCTGCCGCGCCACGTGTCCAGAGGACTAAGGGACCATTTCTGACATTCGTGGCCATTAAACACAACATGATGCAAAGGGTGTTGGTGTGCATAACCATCCAAGGATCGTGGGAACAATGGCATTGAGCAACAAAGGCTGTTGTTCGATAATGATGGAAGGTCCCACAGTATCAACTAAAAGGAAGAGGGAGCCACAAAAACCCTAAAGGAGTTCACCGGTATAAATAGAACACTGTTAACCCAACAGAAAAGAGGATCAACTTCCCATTACACTCAAAAGCCCTAAACATTGAAAAAAGAATAGGAAGCTCAAGTTCTTGTAAAGGTCCAGCGCCTATAGTATCGTTGTATTCACCAAAAATCAATATACAACCTCAAGGAGTAAAAGACTCTCTTACAGTGGATGTAACCTTAGTCCTCCGGCTANGTAAATTGATATTCACTTTTGTTCTTCGACAACACTTGTTATGTTATGAACAAAGGCCAGAAACAACCAAAAGGTATGAAATAGAAAAATACAGAACACAATTTTTCATCAATCGATTCAAAAGCTTATATTCACGGGGTGAAGCACAATAGTAAAGTTTTACTATTAACAAAGGGAGAGGAGATTACAAAAAATTTTGTAATCAAAACTATAGAACTAAACATGGATGCCCAAAACTAGAGGCCAAAATCCCAAAAAGAAACTAAGTGGTCTATAATCTATTTATAGACCTAAAATACTTTATTTCCTAATACAAATAGGGTTTCTAATTGATCTTTTACTTGAAGTGCAATTCCAAGACATCCACTTTTCTAAATTTCTAAGGATAATAAAGTCTAAATTAATTTCCTACAAGAAATGGAATAAATGACACCCACAATATATTATGTATCAATTATCAAGCAAAGCAAGCAACATATAGTTATACCAAAGGGTAAGTCAAAACTTTGTACGCCTGAGTTTGAGTTTCAATAAAATTTATAATTAACAAATCTGCAAGATTTGTGGATAATTACATACATTCACAATTCGACTTGCAACAAAAAATCAAATGGGACGTGCTTGGAATGATTTTCTCCAACAAAAATACGTGGTGTTTTGATTATGTGGACTTTATATCAATGAATTGAGTACTTTCGCCCTGATGAATTGCAAGTTTTCAATTATTTTTTATTATTTTTTATTTGTTTTGTGTGTTTTGATGTTATTTGGTAGGANGATGAGTGGATTTTATATCAATGAATTGAGTACTTTCGCCCTGATGAATTGCAAGTTTTCAATTATTTTCTATTCTTTTTTATTTGTTTTGTGTGTTTTGATGTTATTTGGTAGGAATCATCATTTGGAAGCAAACAAGATCATTTGGAAGGAAACAAGGTCAATTTGGAGCCTAAGTATTGAATTTTTGAAGGCTAAGCAACAAGGGAGCTAAAGGCTTAAAAAAGGGCTAGCGCAGACCCAGCACCCTTGCGCCCACATACTA